CTCACACACACACACACACACAGAGCAGGCCCCCCCCACCCACCCCTTTTCAAGCAACGAAGGAACATCTGTTATCCATAATTATTAAATGATACCAAAATCTTTGTAATATGAAAATGAAGAGGGCATTATTTAAATTTTTGCTGAGAGTTATAGTCTGACTATCATGCAGCTAATTATAAGGGAAACTGATTGAAACGTTGTGTTTGACTTCTATTATTAAGGCTCTATAAGCAAAGAATAATTCTATTTCAGTATCTTAGAAGCTTAATACAGAATCCTATACAGAATCCTGAGACTATGAAAAAACCTTTTCACAATGTACACATTCAATATGGTAAAATATAATCTTGGATACACATTCACTTATAAGTGCAGGCCCGTAGCCAGCAATTTCAGAGGGGAAGGTTTGTTTTCAGAAAAAGTGGACCTTTTACCAGTACATAGATCAGATTTTACCCAGAGTGGACCTTTTCCCAGCAAAAAGGGTGGTTCTTCTGAACCCCCCGAACCCCCCATGGTTACGGGCCTGAAGTGTTACAAGTGATTGAGTGTGCGTAACACTCTGCTGCAATCCCCTAAATTCTACAGGGATGCCCAGATTCTTAGGGGTTACTGAAAACTCGGGCCCTTTAACAGTATGGCTGAATAAAGTGATGGACTGTGACCTCAAAGAGACCAATTTTATCAAAACAAGCATAATTGATAAAATCAGTCAATTTCTGCAATCTTCTGAATCTTTCTTGCCAACTTACAACATATTTTTTTCTCTCTTTGGAATAGATGTATTTTCTTGTTGTCTTTAACTTTTTCAACTTTTTTCTAGTTTTCGTTTGTGCCTACGGTTTAGGATGTTTTGGAATATAAGCTGACAAATATACGGGTATTTGAATACATCGATATACATATATTCAAGTTTTGGAGAAGGATGTGTCAGAGGTGTCAGTTTTAATTTTAAAATGAATCAAAGTGTGCTCATTGGACAAATTTGGTATAACTTCTCATCAGCTGAACTTAAGTTATCACTGTATTTCTTCGCTGTTTTGAAGAAAGATACCGCTTTTAACGAGGTCCAAACACAGTGGGTTTGTTTAACCTAGAAAATCTTCAAGTCTAATTTAAAGCTGAAGAAAATGTTGAAAGCACTGTTCCTGTGCAGCCTGATGGTCTTAGGTAAGTACATGTCACTTATAACACAAAGTTGTAAAAGGCAATTTGCTAAATTTCATTATTATTCTTAGATAAGCCAATGAAAGACCTTATGCCTTCATCACATTGTTGTATTTGTTTGTTTGTTTCTTTGTTTGTTTGATTACAAAATGTCTCAAAAAGCTTTTAAGGGGCAGTGGTATGTTATGAAGGTGCTATAATTATTGTGATCATCTCTTAAAAACTCAAACATCGGTTCTTTCAAATTGGTTTTGCCAGCATTTATTGTTAAGTTGTTATCACTAGACCAAAGAGTGAGATGTGCTGCTGAAGGTAGGAGGCAAGCTGGCTTTTTTCGGACGTTTCAATATTTAGGAATAGTGGTGTCAACTACATATTTTAAAGAGTCACATTCGGTTCTGAAGTCATTGATCATAATAGCAAAAATCACTGGTCCAAGTTTTTTCCCCTACAGTACACCTGCATTGCTGGATTGCCATTCTCATTTTGCATTTTCAGTTCTGACTAACTGTTTCTTCTCTGATCAATACTCAATATCATTATTTACTGGCTTATTTTTTGTCATTTTTAAAAATCTTTTTAGGTTTCTTCCCAAAAAATGCCCAGACCACGTGCACGGTACCCAATAACGACCCTAATGCATCATGCCGATTGGTATACAGATGCAGATACTATTACGGCTACTACTATTACTACTATGACTGTTCATGTACCTGCAATCCGGGGTTTACTGGGACTGCTGGGTACTGCACAGGTAAATTAAATGTGGCTTACAATACATGTTAGACATTCATATAAATATTATAACAGCAATAAATAGTTTTCCTCGAAAAGAAAAAAAATTTTCAGGTACTGGAACTTATTTTCAGCAAGATTCTATAAAATGTCTGCTACATCTTTTTTTGTTTTGTTTGCAAACAGCTATAAATCCATGCGCCTCTGGCCCATGTCAAAATGGAGGCAACTGCACGGTACTAACCACTGGCTACAGTTGTCAATGCCCTCCAGCCTATGCCGGGACTAACTGCCAACTGAGTAAGTTTATTTAAGGAACTTCTGGCTTATTTCCAATTTAATCACAATAGAGGCAGTGATATAATTGGCTAATTAGGATTTTAAGACTTAACTGTGCCATACATACAACAGGTGCCTAAGAATTACATTTTTGGAAGGGGGGGGGGCTTTCCCCTCTCTTCCTGCAGATATGATCACTTTTAAGTAATTTAATTTCCTTTGCCTATGGCCGATGTTTATAAAACAACTGATCAAATGCAACATTTCAGTCTACACACGGGTACCAACAATTGTAAAAGAAAATCAAATATTCTTGTCTTCCCTTTTCTTCCACAAATCAGTAATAGTCCAATTAAAAGGCAGTATTGTTGTCTTCCCTTTTCTTCCACAAATCAGTAATAGTCCAATTAAAAGGCAGTATTGAACCTATTTTGCAAGTAAGAAAAAAAAAAAGGAAAAAATTCCATGAACAACAATTACTGAAACATTTTAATGGAATAATTTTTTTTTTTTTTTTTGTGAATTGAAACAGATCAAAATTGGTTCAACTAAAAGACTGGTTTTACATTTGAGAAACTGGGCTAGAACAAAACTTTCCTGTTTTTATAATGAGCATTTTTTTTTCAGCTCAATGTGATATCCAACCTGATGCGACTTGCTTGCGGCAATATAAATATTGCTACTATTGGGGCTATATTTATTATTACACAGTCTGCGAGTGTACTTGTAATGACGGTTTCATCCAAATTGGTGACACTTGTGTTTAGGTAAGCAGAATATCAATTTATGATCATTTTTTTATCCAGTTCAATCAACTTGGCAAAGTAGATATATTTATAATGCTTGTGATAGTTGCATTTTATGTCTTTTCACGTTAATGTTTCACAAAAAAAAACTTGAATTTACTAGTAAATGGCCAAATGTGCAGTTATATTTCCCTTTTTGCGTAATTACGCTATTGCGTAAGTGTTTCATGAAGAAAAGCAACTCTGTCTCTACTGGGGCCTGTTCAACAAATTGAAATTGAGACCCCATAAGCTGGACAGTCAAGAGGCAAATCATAAGTCTACCTGGAA